ACACACACACACACACACACACACACACACACACACACACACACACACACACACACACACACACGTGTTGTGTTTCCATGTTTTATGGGGACTCTAATTCCATAGGCGTAATGGTTTTTATACTGTACAAACTGTATGTGCTATTGCCCTACACCAACCCTACCCCTAAACCTACCCCTTACAGGAAACTTTGTGCATTTTTACTTTCTAAAAAAAACTAATTCTGTATGATTTATAAGCTTGTTTCCTCATGGGGACCTAAAAAATGTCCCCACAAGGTCAAAATTTACTAGTATTACTATCCTTGTGGGGACATTTGGTCCCCATAACGTGATAAATACCAGGTACACACACACACACACACACACACACGCACACAGTAAAATATCATTATAATTTAAAATAACTATTTTCTGATTTAGCAATATATTTTAAAATGTCATTTATTCCTCTGATGGTAAAGCTGAATGTTCAGCATCATTACTCCAGTCTTCAGTGTCACAGGATCCTTCAGAAATCATTCTAATATGTTTATTCTAATATGTTAAAACTGAGATACATTTTTTTTCAGGATTATATGATGAACAGAAAGTTAAAAAGAACAGCATTTTTTTTTTAAATAGAAACCTTTTGTACTATTATAAATGTCTTTACTGTCACTTGATCAAATTAATGCAACATATTATATCATATTATTTTCACATTTAACATCATAATTTAGATCTTCATACCTCTAGAATATTCATCTTGTTTCAGTAAGGCAGGTGAATGATACAATTGCAGCACTGTTTTAAAGCTGGGATTATTCTTATAATTCTTATCCAGAATGAGTCATTTCTCACTGAAAGCCTCACTTATGTATGACTGATATGTGTGTAACATCTGGACCAATCAAACACACAATTTTTCATTTGATTTAACAAACTGAGAGGTCAAGTAAATATCTACAGCGGATCTAAATATTTATAATTAATTATAACTAGGTATGATTAATTATTCATATTTCCCCATGAGCTGATTCGCAACATATGTGACATCAGTCTGCCCTCTGCTAAATTCTCTCATTATAGGGCAGTACTCTGGCAGCTCGCTTCAGTGACAGATGTTATCACCTCTCACCAAAAATGGTGTCAGTTTTAGATACTCTGTTACCTCCGGGTTCAGCTCAGTGGAGAGGTGTACCAACCATCAATCTTAAACATATTTAAAGTGGATTTTGTAGCTTCTATTAATAAAAGAGCATATTTTTTTCCCCACCAATGACATTTCATTCCCATGTTGTCCCACCTTTTCGTCCATGTGTTTCCATGCAGTTGTCGTGGAGACAGGCCCCCCAGGAGGACCAGGACGAGAGCAGGCATAGCTGTGGGCATGGTATGGAGCAGGGCTGCACTGCAGAAGGCAATTCTCCTACACACAGATGCCCACTTACCGGCCTAGACACTACCGAGGCATAGAAAGAAAGAATCCATATGTCAGGCAAATTTAGCCAGAACTTTTCTTGGCAAAATATAATTCAGTTTAATAAGTATAATTTTCTGAACTTTCCTGCTGAGCACCAACTCCCACACAGAATAAAATCAATTGCAAAGCCTTTGTAAACCAATGCAAGTATTTAGCTCAAAGTCTTGACAGATCTCTTCTTCTGCATTGTGACATACATTCAAGTGAAAAAATATAGAGAGAGGACTTAGTTCTTTTTCTAACTTCACTCTGTGTTTCACTTTGGGAATCGGGCATGACCAACTGCAGAATCTCTTATGACACCACATCTGTCGACCTGTGACAAGGCTCAGCTCCACCTATATCAGCCAGTTCAACCCCTGCCAAAGTCACTAAAGTTTCCTTTTGCCCTAGCCCTGCTTTTGTGCCTAAGGTAGTTGACTCAGCGTATAGGTGCCCATCTACTGAACTGGCAGCTTTTCACCCTCCTCTGTTCTCTTCTCCAGTGGAGCAGAAGTTGAATTCATTATGTCCGGTACGGGCTCTTCATATGCATGTGAAAGGAACAGCAGGCTTCAGGACTCCTCAACAGCTGTTTGTGTCTTGTGCTACTCCTCACAAAGGGAAGCCGTTGTCTCGTCAATGGCTGTCTCATTGGATCATTGAGGCTATATCTTTAGCTTATGTTTGCAAGGGTCTTCAACAGCCTAAGAGCTTGAGAGCCTTACTCAGGGGAGTTTCTGTTCAAGATATTAGTTCAGCAGCAAGTTGGGCTATGCCACATACTTTTGTGAGATTCTATAGACTGGACGTGTCTGAGCCATCCTTAGCACATGCAGCGCTGGGAGCCGGTAGGTCTGTGCACATTTAATTGTTATGGGTGATAGCAGTGATATGGGTGCAATCTGGGAGTGGTCCATATCTCCCATAGTGAAACACCGAGCGAAGTTAGAAAAAGAACAATGGGTTACTTAATGTAAACCTGGGTTCTTTGAAAACAGAGTGAGATGTTTCATCCGCACTCCCCTCCTTGCACAGGTACGGGAAGTAATCTCTCTATAATGACTTGGGCTAATGGCATGGGTGGACCTGGCTAATATAGGTGGTGCGGAGCCTGGTCACAGGTCGACCTGTCTGTCAAAGACAGATGTGGTGTCATAAGAGCTTCCACAGTTAGTCACGCCCAAAGCGATTCCCATAGTGAAACACTTCACTCTGTTATCAAAGAACCCGGGTTTATGTTAAGTAACCCATCGTTTTCTCCATCGGTTGTTGACTGGATGGAGGCAGATCTGAATGCAAGCTTGCTGTTCATTGTAAGTGACAGACCTACACAGACTAAATGACTGAAATCTGACATACATCACTAGAGAGAAGTCTGTCATTTGACTGGAAGAACAGAGTTTTTGATTAAACATTACAAAGTAAAAAAAAATAAAAAAAATGAAACATGCATGGATATAATGTTCACAATAAGATTGATAATATGCATTCAGAAAATAGATAGGGCGAATTGCCATATCATGTAAACTTCAAAATTAACATGTATTGTGGTTTCCAACACATTTTAATTCTGGAATTTCATGTATCTTCAAGTGAAACAAGATATTCAAGGTGAAAACTTTTATGGTGGGACATAATTTTATCCATCAGAAATTAGATAGATTGTGAATTGAGAGTGTTACATACCAGAATGGAGGCAGACTGAATTTGAATTTGTTAAAACAATCCTTAACTATTTGGCTATTGATTAACGTTATCCAATAGGCTGCATGGCCTAAGAGACATCAGCGGAAAAGGAAAGTAATTTCAGTGGACAGGAAAATGAATACAATTTGTTCCTGTTCTAGATTAACATGCACTGGATGAATAGTTCCCAATAAAACCAGGAACATGCAGTAAGAAAGTAAAATGATTTTGAACTGACTTTGAATTGGACTGATTCTCAATTTGACTTTTGTCAAACAAGTGTTCAAAAGTTTAGGCAAACCTCTTGAAAGTCTCTTACTTTGACTGTGGTCTGTTAACATTAGTATGAGAGTCCTCTGGGTTGGGTGGAAAGCAAACACCACTGTTGATTTTCATTGATCTATATCCCCAGACAACATTGATTGAAAGGAGTAATCTTCATCTGTATGCCTTTCTCAGCTCAGCATGCCTTGAATCCATCTAAACACTGCTTTCATTGGCTAGTGCAGCTCCTTGAAATTAATTTCAGAGCAAGGTGACTCCCTTTAACTACCTTTAATCTTAGAAACAGGTTTTTTACAAGCACAGTTACTCACGGCTAACGCAAATGGCTAACCAAAAGACTTTTTGATCTGGATTTCTTAAACCAAAATGAATTAGCCTTTGCAATGTGAAAATCAACACATCTGCAGCTGAAGAGATGCACAGCACATAGCTTAGCCATACTACTGTAGCTCATTGTCATTTAGACACTGATCCTTACCCTCTTTTCTGTGATGAGGGGTGGAGTTGTCAGGGACCTGGACGCAGTACAGCTGCCTGGTCTGAATCCCTCCACCGCAGAGAACGCTTACATTGTTAAGCCTTCTGTCCTGCTGGCTGAGAAGAGGGGCCACTTGACAGTCCCCCCAATCTGTGCTCTTCCACACATACCTGGAGAACAAAAGCACATTCCCGCTGTGGTGAAACACACTTCTTTTGTTTTGGCCCTATAGCCTCATTATATCATGCTGGGCTCCTCTCAAAAGTTGCACCGGATAAATGGACACAGTGAGCTGCCGCTGAAAGATACTAATAGGCTTAGCTTCCTGTTTTCCGGTAGGAAACCATCTACTAATGAAAAAGCATAGACTAAGCAAAGTGTTATGATGCATAAAGCAGTGGTTTTAATGAAATAACTGTCTGCTGCTATTGATCAAATACCTAATCTCACTAATTAGCTTTATCTAATCTTTGGTATGCTCGGATGCAACAGGGGTTTAGTAAATAAATACTTGAAAAAACTCTCGAAAAATCATTTTGTAATTTTTTTTGTACAGTAATGTACAGTAGGAATTTAATTATTATTGGGAGGCTGAAATACAAACCTAGGGCAGTTCGGAAGTAAATCTCCGATTATGTTGCAGGCTTTCTTTTCTTCAAGAGTGGCGCATTCTTTGCCTAGTCCAATAGGAGTCTGCGTTATGCTTCGAGTCCTGACCCGAAAACCAGGCGACATATCTGATGCACTACATGTCTTTGAACATGGACTCCAAACGGACCAATCAGAGGTCTCACAGTCTCTGGGCATAATGCACGACTGGAATGTTCCTGGACCGTTGTCAAGGGTACAAAGACTGAGAACAAGAAAACAAATAAATTAGGGATGAGATGCACAAGGAAAACATATTCAAACATTTCAATGCTGCCAAAAAAGATCAGAAGAAAGTCTCTGTCATTTAGAGTTGAAAGCACATAGTGATAATATGTTTTATGAGATAAATGCCATCAGTTGTTCCTCTATTGTTACTATTTAATAGGGCGTAATGAAGAACCTTTCTTTGTGTGTGTGTGTGTGTGTGTGTGCGTTTTGTTGTGATGAATTTGTGATTCAGTTAAAACAAACTTACAAAACCCCCACAAAACAAAAGATTCTGAATCCACAGCAACATAGCCAACTTTTCAGTGCATAATTTGCATATTTATTAATATGAGTAGAGTATCCATGGCAAGAGAAGACTAAATAATTTGTCAGAGATGTTAAAATGTTCTTAATATGCTGCAATGCTGGAGTGATGGTACAGCAAACGAGTGCATCTGATTTTTTATTTTTTTTTGCATAGCAGACACTGTGTAATTAATGTAAAGTGAAGGATATTTAAATGAGTTATTCACCTTTGTGTCCTACGAAGCAATGTCTGCAATATGAAATATGAATAAATGCACAACAAATTGGATATCTAGCGATTCATCTATATAAGCCATCTGATTAAATTACTTGTGTATATCATAATCTGTTTGTGTAGCATTCATTTTCACTTCATTTTAAATGATAATTAGTCTATAATTGGAAAAACTGCAGAAATTGAACTCAGGAGGGAAATATTCAAATCACTACATTTCATTAAGCATGCACGTAGGATTCATAAATGAATATGTTAATTAGAGCGAATGCTCCATCTCACTGTAAAATAACACCCCGGCCTCTCTCTTGTTATGTTACACCTGTAGTAAACCTGTCAGACCCCATTCTACTCTACATACCCCCCACAACACCCTCCTCCACTTTGAACTGAGAATGAGGATCCTCGAAAATCCATCAAGGGATGATCCTCCATTTTACAGTCTGTTTAAACTGACACATGAAGAACTGTTGCTCTATGCTCTTATAGGTAAATGACTCTCTGCATTTCAAGGCCATAATCCACCCATACTACAGATATAAAACATATTTATATAATTTCATAATTAATTTTATATACAATTTTATTTATATATAAAATTGCATATATATATATATATACACACACACACAGTATATATACAGTATATATATATATATATATATATACAGTCAGGGATTGAAATTAACTTTTTCACTCAC